ATGGCCTCAAAAAAGTTGACGACTCTACCTACATGTTTCGACGTTACAACATCATCCTCAGGTTGAAGGCCATAAATAGGCCTAAATAAAATGTTTTTAATTGTGTACCAGTTTAACGTTGAATATTATTTATGATTTTAACTTTATACACAAGTGCCAGAATACTATAATCATATCACACTATTGACTTTGTATGTATCTTCACAAAGTCAGGAAGTTGAACATAATGTTTGTTTTATACCCAGAAATCTATATGTAATTACAATCTAACTTTATACAACAAGAAAGTTGCTGAAACACTTAATTGACTTTATAGAACCCTAAGCTGGTTTCTCTTCTAAAACCACCATTCGACCAATTTAAAACGCTTTGCGGTTTCGCTGTTGAACGCAGAAAATTAACGAGCCACTTAATACTGGTGATAAAAAGCTTTATGTTGTAGAATATAACAAGCTACAAAAACTTTATTTTTAGTATCTTACACATAAGTAACACGCGCACATGCGCTCTTATCAAAATCCGGGGGGGAGGGGAGAAATGCCATCATTCCCCTCCCCAAAGAAACACCACCACCAACAAAACAACAAACAAATTATAGTACAACTGTGTGTTCGTAATTTTTTTACGTAATAAAAAATGTTTAACACTTTACAGTATTACTGGTACAATTATTCCAAGACACCTATTATATGCAATGTATAAATAACGCTTCAAATTGGAAGAGCAAGTATGGAAGACTTGTTTGTTTGTTTGTTCAATTTTCGTGCAAAGCTACTTCAGCGCTACCTGTCTCTAATTTTGAAGTGACAGGCCACAGGGAAGGCAATTAGTTAGCACCATCCACCGCCAACTCTTCGATCACTCTTGTATACTGGTTCTTGACCATTACACCTATAACGCATCCACGGCCTCATCGTGGGAAGAGCAATTTTTTTGTGTGGTAAAGGGGCACGAACCAAGGAACTTGCCATCCAATGATATACAGTCCAGCACTCTAACGACTAGTCCGCATTCAGTCGTTACACGAAAAAAAAAAGACACGTTCAGGATTATCTAAGGTTCCCCTAAAATAATCTGAGTTATATTAGAACAATGTTTTACGCATAACTCTAGCTTTGGGTCTAACAAAGTCCTGGCTCCACTATAACTCAAGGTTTAACCAATTCTGGCTTCACTCTAACTCAGCCACTGTCTTAAAAATCCCTACAAATTTATAACGAAGCTCATACAGCATGATCTCATGAAGTCAGTAAGTCAAAGTAATTTTAATGTACTTTGCAAATACATAATGATGGCAAGAACATAGTACGTGAAGGTTACAGATGTTTAATACTCCTGTACACACACATGTAAACTTTGTTTTTTGTTTTGCTTTTCTCGTTAGCATACTTTTTCTAAAAATTGAGAACTAACATACTGGTTTTTTATCTTACTAAATTTTGGAAACTGACATATTGTTTTTGAACTTACTATTTTTTTTTCTAAATTTTAAAAGCAGACATACTGTTTTAGATCTTACTAATTTTTTCTGAATGTTGAAAACTGAAATACTGTTTTTGAACTTACTAATTTCTCTGGATGTTGAATACTGACATCACTATTTTACTTACCTGGAGTATTGTTACATAAAACGAGAGACTGGTGGTTGTAGTACAAGGCGAATTGAAGCTGTTGAGGACCTTGTTGAAGAATATTTTGAAGCAAGGTTTTCGTGTCTGTTCCAGAGTTTGGAGAGTTGGAGTGGAATAATCCGTCTGTTTCCAACTCTCGATTTGACTGGTTGTTCAAATGATCGTTGTCACATCCATTCACTGCACAAAACAAATTACAAATGACATGAAGAATTGTTTATAATAGACTTAAATAATAGGTGCTAGTTAATAATCTTTATATATAACGAAAAATATTGAGTTAGTCATCAAAAACAATTGAAACTTTTCAACTGCGTTTGTTTCTTCCTTGCGTATTTATACATTTATATAAAGTAGGCTTAAGCAACAAACCCCGTATAGTTAGTAACCCATACATAGTAGTCATTAAAAACACACACTAAATACAGAAGCAGGCCTAACCACACGATTCCTCGTTCCCGAGAAGAGTGAATACCGGTTTCCAAAATACTTATACATTTATATAAAGTAGGCTTAAGCAACAAACCCCGTATAGTTAGTAACCTATACATAGTAGTCATTAAAAACACACACACACTAAATACAGAAGCAGGCCTAACCACATGATTCCTCGTTCCCGAGAAGAGTGAATACCGGTTTCCAAAATACTTATACATTTTAATGTTTTCATGTATTTACTCAGTTTCGCACACACACACATTCATGTTTTCTGGATATTATGTTATGTACTTTGCGATAGTTTTTTTGTTGAACATATATACTACACTGTCAGATTTCCTTACGTTTTCTTTTGCAGTCAAAACTATATTTTTAAGCAACATCTAATAGATAACATAATCACGCGTTACTGATTAATCTATTTACGTAACACGCCTTTTTTGGTATGTCCTCTATAATACACTGTATATAATTTAGGTTTAGATTAAAAGTTATTTTTATCATGGCAGTAAGTCAGCAAAAGTGGTATGACTGATAGTAGGTGTATTATTTATAGTGTAAAAAAACTACGCGAGAAACACATAAGGGCAAATAATACATGTAACATGAAAATCGTGGTTAGGCCTAACGCTATCTGTGAAACAAAAAATAACGCTACTACTACTACTGCGAAAATAGGTCTCGCACTACTTTTATTTGAATTGACATATTTGTGTGCAGCGTGTAACATGAAAGTCATGGTTAGGCCTAGTGCTATCTGTGAAAAATAAATGCTTCTACTACTGCGAAGATAGATTTCACACTTTGTTTATTTGAATTGACATATTCTTATATGTGATCAGAATTTTGAATTAGCCAAGCTGGCATAACGCTTTGGCTAGAACCTTGAAGGATGACAAGTTCTTAAACAGAAAGAGAACCTATTGTTTAAAAATAACCAAATCAACAGACACGTTCGAGGAATTTATATATATATAATATAATGTATTTCATCATCGAGCACAGAATGGATTTCGTTCCAACAGACAAGGTCACGAATAGATAAAGCAGCACGATTTCGTAAGGCAAGGCACAAGGAATCCTGGGTCTCTGAACTCTCCTCTTGGCAACACTCCATCCACTTCGAGTGAAGGCCATGTTTTGTAATGTGCAAGATTTTAGGCACAGCAGAAGCAAGTGTGCTTTAAACAATTCCTTTGTACTTCGAAGATCGGTGGTTAGGGGGCGCTCGACTCGCAATCTGAAGGTCGCGGGTTCGAATCCCCGTCACCGAACACGCTCGCCCCTATCAGCTGTGGGGCGTTATAATGTTACGGTCAATCCCATTATTCGTTAGTAAAAGAGTAGCCCAAGAGTTGGCGGTGAGTGGTGTTCACTAGTTGCCTTCCCTCTAATCTATCACTGCTAAACTTGGGAAGGATGTCGCCCTCGAAATTCAAAACAAACTAAACCTGTTGTCAAAACAGCTTCGAGACCGTTTCTGTTTTCCTTATATATTTCAGCCAATACTGATATCTGAAGAGAATCATCGTGGCATAAAAGCCTTCCTGTTTTAAGTTCTCCTTTGTTTCTTTAATGGTTCACCTGCTAGGTGCAAGACCTCGACCCTCTGTGGCCAAATTACAGGTCATTAAACAGAATTCGAGCGTTGAGGGGGGGGGGAAGGTGGAATCTGGTTTCACGGTAAACGAGTTTGTCAAGAGGTTTACGCACGCTGTCAAGGTTGACTCAAAACTGAAAAACGTGAATTAAACACAAACACTACATCAAAATCTACCAGGTTGACTCAGAACTGACAATCATATATTGAACACTA